ACGCTGTACATCTTGACAAAAAAAAACACCTGTAGTCAGCATGTCTAGTATCTGCAGAGAAGGCTGTACCAGTGCTCTGTCCCATCTGTAGCCCTCTGGATAGGAGGCCTTCTGGACATCAGAGAAACTTTGACAGCTTTCAACTAAGCCCGGTTCTGCGAGGAACAGTATTCCAGAGAGGACCCATCCCACTTTACTGCCCTGTAGAACAAATACGGGAAGGGGGAGGTTTGGGAACTGTGTGTCCACCACCCCTCAATAAACCAAAACAAAAGCCATAGAACAGTTCAGCAAACACTGTCTAATTACTTTGCACTGCTAATTAGCACTCCAGCTCTAACCTAGAATAGGTAAGTACGTACTTGTAACATGCTGCTCTTTCTAAAAGCAGATGGGTTTTTATGTATGACAGACTCGCATGGGACTGCCTACCAAGCATGTTGGGCCATCCTTGTGCTGCAGTGGTTTGCAGGCACATCAGATGGTGCTCTTAGATACCGTATTATTGGACAAATTATACTTTAGTGACAGACTTGAAAGGAAGCCTCTTACGTATGGCAGATACGCAGAAAGTACAATAATTCTAAAGGAAATCAAAAGTACTGCTTTCCACTGTTTGGGTGGAATTGTCACATTCCAATAGCTATTGGTCACAACAGGATGCATGACTTGAGATAGTTTGAACATTAAAAGTACACTTATGAAGCACTCAATCAGTTTTCTATGTGTCTAAGGCTACCAGCAGGAGCTGAGAGCATTTGTGCTTCTCACAGGAATTGCTTCAATTTGTGTTGCAAAACCCATCAAGTTTTCAGTCAAACTTGTTAGTGCTGTCACGTTCAGTCTATTTTGGTAAAATAGTTGACCTGAATATTTATCCTCGAGACTTCTACTGCCATTGAGCTGCCTCCCATCATCAGGGATCTTAAGCCTAATTCTGTTCAACTAGGCAGAATTCCTCTTTAACTTGTTTCAGCCTATAGAATTATATTTTATGTATCATGATTAAAGACGTTACCACAGGCTATCCATTTTCTGCCTTTAAATTGGAAAGCAGAGATCTTACCTAGGAAAGGGAACCAGACAGGCACCTTGCCTTTCACCTATCCTGAGGTGCTGTATTACTATAAACCATTTTGCTGAGCAAGGGTAAACATGACTGTCAAGGGTTTTATACAGGTTTTACTAAATAGTTATAAAAAAAAGAATTAACTGAAAGGACACCTTTTCCTGCATTTGGGTTCCAAATGCTAATGGTGACGACAGACTGCAGAAACCAGCCAGGAATACTGTCGTTTGGAGGCCAAGCTAGTCAGAGTAGCAAAATGTAGGGTTACCTTTCAGTGTGCTAGTCGTGCTTGCTCACGTCTTTCAGTGGAGTTATTCAGTCCCTGTGCTTCAGTGATTAAACCACTCGCTACTTCAGGCCTTGCAACACATAGTGGGTGCACTGTCATCACCCTAGAGATAACAGACCAATACCACTGTCACAGGCTTGCATTAGGCATATGAAGGGGGAAAAAAAAATGAACACAGTTAAGTAGGCTAACAACAGGCAATGTAAAATAAGCACTGTACAAACCCTTCTCCTTGTACTTCAGAGCAATTCATTTATAGGCTTACTGAAAGGAACAAAAGCTGTGTAGACTGCATCCTCTCCGAGGGATTAAGACGCAGTTCTGCACAGACCTCACATCTTTTAGGAGCCAAGTTGTTCTGTCTCTAACAGGACTTAAGCCTTTACGTTTCTCTTTTGTGGGAAACAAAATATCACTCTGCTGAAAGCACCCATGCTCGCTACAACACTCAATTCACACATATTAGCCACTACTTCACTTTGGTGTCTCTTTTATGTTCCATAGAGTGACTGCAATGTACTCAGCAGGGTGATTTTCAGTAGCGGCTGCAGAGTGCTCTGCAGCACATCAAAAAGAGCTTCCTCAGCTTTTTATCTCCCAAGTCACTTGTTTCTGTTAAATAGAAGCCAGATTTCACATGAGGGCACATAAGAAAAAGAAAAGGAGAGGGGTGGACTTTTTGTGGGGGGTTGTTTTTGTTTCTTGCTTGTTTTGTTTTTTCTTAGGAGTGGTTTTACACTTCATTTATGTAACAGACTGTATTAAAGTATTTCGCATTAACACATTTACTGTAAAGCTATGTGTGCTCTACATGATTTAGAATAGAGGAAAAACATTTTCTCCACTGTGAACATCCTCCTTCCTCTACCCCGAAAACTTCAACAGGAATAGAAGGCATTTGGGCCCATTCAAGTCAGAGAAGCCCTTGACCAACGGGAGTTAGGCAGAAAGACACCAACTGAGCATAGCAGGATTTAAGCCTTAGTGCTGTGGCTTCTTCTGCCTAACAGAGCTCTAAGTCAGGCACCATATGCAGGCACCATACACAGTCCTTGAGGATAAAAAACATGCACCAAAGACTGGGATTCACAAAGTGCAGCCACAAACTAGGTGTTTGCCCCAGCCCAGCTGCTGAAGCCACCTGGCCCTGAGCATCCTCCTCTTCATAAGCATAAACACTGTTCTCGAGTTGGACACCACAGAGTTCATTCCACAGAGTTTAGGCAAGAAGAGTTGTACTAGCGAAACACTTGTAGTTTAGCTGTCATCCTTTATGTGAAATGGAGAGAATTAATTCTGTCCTTCACTTATGCTAGGAAGTTAGAAATGACAGGAGAGGTCTAAAAGTACCATACCCAGCTTCATATCCCAGGTCCAAAAATCAGTCAAGTAATGGAGCTGAACTAGTCACCCGTAACTGGTTAGTTTTCTGACTATTTTCTCCTGCTTCCCTAGTGCAAGATCTGAGCTGAGGATGTCTTAGACACCAAAACTGAGACAAGGAGTAACTGATACATGAAAGATACAGAACTATAACTAGCTCTTAAATGACAGCAACACAAGCGCCTCCAGGATCAGCTGGAAGCACAAGGAAGTTGGTCTCAATTTTGGGTTTAAGCCAAAAGGTAACTGTAATTCCCAATTCAAACCCAGAGCGCTGACCCTGGGTGCCATGCAACACTGAGTCTATGCAGAGAAAAACCACATCAACAGTTTTCATTAAGAATAGAAACTGTATGTTTTGCTAGAAGAAAAACAAAACAAAACAACACAACTGTTTCTTTTGACAATGAGAAAATATCCATTACCTTAGAGTTTTATATCTGAAGGACCCAATTCAAAGCTCAAGGAATTAATTTTGGGGGAAAAAATAAAAAAGAATAAAAAAAAAATCTCAGCACCGTGAGCTTTAAAAGGCCAGAATAACTTGGGGTGTAGGGTGTGCGTTCAGGATAAGGGAACAAATAGCATACAATAAAGCGTTGACTAGTTTCCCATCCTAGTTCCTTCAAATTTCTTGGTATATCAAGCAATTTTACTGCTTGAAGATAGCTTAGAGTTTATGTTCTCACCAGACACCCAAATTTAACTACTGTTATTAATATGAATGTCAATAATAGTGACACAGCAGTGGAAAAACACTGTTCACTCAGCATTTTGTTATGGAGGTATATTAAAATGCCTACAGTATGCCTGTCTGTCTAGTAAAGTAATCAGCAAAAATTATATCTAGACTGCACGTACACTTACCAAGGAGGCTTTATGGGAGCCTCATGTTTTGAATTTTGTGGATTATTCTAGAAACGGTCTCTCTTATCCAAAGCTGTATTTAAAACTTAGAGCTTTCAAACCTAATGCTGTATTTCATTAGCCAGGTCTAAAAAATGTTTTTACAAGTCACTTCTCAGAAAAAGTACTTACTAAGTATTACTGGTAGGACAGGAGGAGAGGACACCTCCAGTCAGCTGTCTGAACAGAGCACAAGTTGCCCTTGTCTGAGGAACAGCCTTCTCTAAAAAAAGAATCTCGGCATTTATATGGGATTTATGGCAACATCCTTGTGATTATAATAGGAATCTCTCACAGTTATGACTTTCTAATGCAAAGTATAACACAGCCTTAAACAAAACCAGTGAGGTGGGGTTTTTTTTAATGGGGTTGGGCGATTGTTTTGTTTTAATAGCAACTATTTTTTTCCCCATCATACAAGTAATTTAAATGTGGCTGCTCTTCCCATAAGTCAGCTGAACTAGTCTGTACTGGTTTACATTCCGTTCTTTGATTTGCAGATTAAGCCACTAATTCTCTACTACACAAGTCCAAGATACTCTAGAGAAAGTCAGACTTTTGAGACTTCTGTGTGAAATACTCTTCTCTGTGTATCTTGGAAGAAACTTCACAGATACTAATGTGTGCAAGTTATCTATTATCTTTATTAGACAGGACAGAGGGTGGAAGAACCAACTGAAACCAGAATTAAAGGGGGAAAAAAAAAGTAATTTACGTCACCTACACAATGATTTAATTGTAATTTAGGTCTACATTTAACTATGTGATAGCCCCTGTGATTTAAGATTTGCTGCAACTCAGCAGTCAAGGCAGGGCTTTAATACAGCAGTATTAAGCTGAGAACTGAACAGAGTCAATACTGAGGATTAGCAACAGAAGATTATAAAAGACAGTTCATTTCAGAACTCAAAGAATAAACAATTTTTGCATTTTATCCCACATACAGGACACCTCTGGCCAAGGCACGGGTCCTTGTTTGCCTGTTTGAGGTTTCAGAGGTGCAGCAGAGCCACTAAGCTAGGTGAAGCAAACAGGAAAGCTTTTGGCTCGTGGTTAAATAGCATGGCTAAAACCACCGCTCGATTCTAGAAACCCCGTTTGCTGAGATGGTAGCCAGGCAATTGAGGCTATTCCAAATGCATCAGAGGTTAAACTAGCCTGTGACAAAGGGCACCTTCACTCCAAATGCAACCTAGTGCTGAGCTTGTCTCTAACTGAAATATCTTTCACAGGAGCCGTGGACTTCAGTAGGTGGCCTCTAATGTTCTCTAATCTGTATTATCTCACAGCAGAACTGCAACAAGTTCACAATGTTTAACCCAAACACTTTTTTTTTTCCCCCCATCTTTAAAGGGAGGTCCAATCCAGAACCGAAAATCGAAGCGTTGCCTGGAATTGCAGGAAAACAATGAAAATGAATTTGGATTTCAACTTGTCCTTCAGAAATGCACTGGACAACGCTGGTCTATAACAAATGTCCTGAAAAGCTTGTCATCATAGCAGACTAGATTTTTTACCCACTTTTGCTACTGTGTAGCAAATACTGCATTGCTGCCTGCTGTACTGTATTCCCATCCACCCGCCCCACCCCCAGTTCCTTCTCTCCTCTCTTTTGTCCCTTCGATTTCATTTTGTGTGTGGAAATTGGGTTTGTGGGCTGAAAATAAGACTTTTTATTTCACAATGATGTTTTCATGGCATTTATAGAGACACTGAATGACAGGTGATGGGTAGGCTATCCTAAAATATTTTACAACTGTAAATAGGAAACAAATGGAGAATATTTATAACTCGAACTTTTATTGAATAAAAAACTCCAAACACTATTACTGTCTAGCTGTCTCCATGGAAATACATTTGGAAGTTAAGTGGTGGTTTCATTGTTTTCATTATCCCAAGCCTGATCTCAGCAAGTTGTTGCCAAGCGTCATATTCTCCAGACTTGTAAAAAGTCCTGCCTGCACACTAGTAGCTGCAGTGAGGGAGGATTTTCTCCTTTCTCCCTCCAAGGAGACCCATCTAGGTCACTGTAGCTACTAGTATGCAAATATGGGGGGAGATGTGGTGTGTGGAGGTGTACAGGTCTGTAATAAGCACCCACATACTTTTCCTCACCAGTAATAAGCACCCACATACTTTTCCTCACCAGTACTACTAAATAAAACCACAGAGAACCCCAGGGCTCAAGTGAGACAGGGAAAAGAATTAATTAAATAAGAAGAAGAAAAAAAAAAAAGCTACAAGAGAAAAGCAGAAGCTACTGCAGGAAAATAAAAAAAAAATCCCTGACATCTCTCAATGGCATGGCCACCATTTCAATGGCTGCACTTTCCTTCCAATTGTTCATAGTTCTTACAATTTCTTTTTTCTTTTTTTAAATACACTGTTCCCTGGCTACCACAGACTTGGATAAAAATGGCTCCATGCAACAGCAAAAGGTATGAATTCACTCTGCCTTTCTCCCTGCCTTTAAGGACGTGTGAATGCAATGCTGTATCATTTCATCTCAGCTAAGACTGAGATGAGGAGAGGATGAGACAGTCTGATGAGATAAACCAGAACACGAGGATTACTGGCCTCTGCTTCCAGCTGCTTTTATTTGTATGTAAATTCCCTCTCTTTTATTACTCTGTCTGTTCTTTTCATTCTGTTTGTAACAGTCATCACCTCTTCTGGGGCTGGTTATGTGCTGAACTGTCATTTACAGACTGGCTTCACATTCAGGACCAGCTAGCAGCGTTGTTTCTTATGCCTGTTTAATAAGTCATATGGCACAGTAATTATATGTGTTCACCCTTCTGCTATATATAGTTACCATACATCTGCTTCTCAGAGAAGAAAACGCTGAGCCAACAGCAGGAAAACAGCAACAGCCAATAAAGACGGGCTTAACAGCTGCACTTTGACCAACCTCAGAGGTCCCTCAGGCCTGCCTGAGTGAAAACTCCCATTGCAGTTAGAACCCTGAAAGAGCATCAGTAACCTGAGTGTCGGGGTGCCGCAGCTAGACGAGGGAAAGCAGCTGCAGAGACAACGGGAGGTTGCTACATGCGCCAGCCAAGCCTCCTGCGCACTGCAGCGCGTGCACCATCCCGAGGGGCGAGGGCTCAGTACACAGCATGCAGAGCCAGTTTGAGCAGTCCCAAGTTCCGTGACTGACCAACTGGACTTGCTTTTCACAGGCATTCCAGATGCATGAGGAGACCACCACATGGTCAGACAGAGGAAAAGCACAGAACTCAGAGTAGCCGAAATAAACCAAGCTGCGTTTCAAGAAAGATACCAAGGCTTCAGTGCACAGAGATGAAGCCATAAAGGAAAAACAAGTAGCACGGATCAAACCAGTCTCCTCTTGATTCTTACAGGCCTACTGCACTCTGAGCAGTCACTTTCTGGTTTGGTTTTTGGGGAAGTTTTTTATGAGCACTAGAGGGAGATATCTGTCAAAGACTTGATGAAAGTGAAAGGCAGGAGCTGAGCTCTGAACAGTTTTATTTCATACCAAAATGAGTATTGTAGGTCTAGCATTTGCCCAAAGACGATTGTAGTTATTCCGGATTACATTGCAGCAGTGTGCTGATGTTCACAGCTAAGTGAACAAAAAACCCCCAGAACCGCTTCAGTGAGCCATGTAGTCTCACCAAGCCATGTCTGCTGCTATCGAGCCATACCTCCCTGCTACACACCAGTGCTTAGGCTGCTGCTCCCCTTCATTCCCATGGGGCCTGCACTGAAGAAGTTTTCTTCAGCTTCTCTACCGAAGAACAACATTACCAGGAATCCCTCAGTGACAACTGTGGGTTTCAATTTGATTGCACTGCAATTCTAGTGACTACAGTGGAATTACCAAAATAAAAATGGGGGGGGGACACACACACGACAACAACACATAAATGCAGAGTTGAAACATAATACCTACAACAATTCAGCTATATGTGAGATACATGCATTATAATATGCTTTTACCTTTGTTTTGTATAGTGGAGTAAACATTTTTATGTGATAACGTACAGAAAAAGGGAAATGGGTTTAAATCTGTGGCTAAGCCTCCTAAAATGGTATAGCAGAAATTATGAATGTATGTCAGCAGTGCCATTATCATGCACTTTGACACCCAAGGCCTCAGAATAGATTTTCTTTTACATGACTCTCCTCTAGGAAGATGGAGAAAAACAGAGCAGAACAAGCAGAACTGAAGGACCTAGCCATCTTTTGCTAGACATGTGCTTTCTCTTGGTCATGAACTGCCTCATCACCACTTCCTTTTCAGATACACAGCAATGACATAGATACAGCAGCAGTTGCTTACACTGTAAAACACAAATAATCACCAAGTGAAACAAAACTCATCATCACTTTCTGGAAGATTACAGAATATTACTCAATCATCAGTTGCCTCAAATGGTCAAAAACATTCTGAAATCTGCCTTTGCAATAGGTTTGTTGGTTTTCTTAAAATTGTTTTAAAGAGGGAAAGCTAGCACTTAAGGGCAAGAAAGGATACTGTTCACAAGTCATGTACCTCCTCACTTGAGCATAGTCAGAGATGAGGACAACTAGAAAGACCCAGTCAGCTCCTTCTTCCTCCTGCTTCTATAGAACCACTCCCAATATATTTTCATGAGTTTTTCTTGACAACTAATAATAGTGTACCTACTAGCTGATAAGGAAATCCTGACAATTAAAAGGAAAAATAAAATAATAATAAAAAAAATAATCAAGCAACCCTAAGCCTTCCCCCTACTTCTTCAAATACTTACGGACAACTTATACTAATTTTCCTCTATCTCCTCAGCTATCATTCAACCAAAGTGTTCATACAAGGATATCACCTACAGTGGTTTCTCAAGGCTATTAGAATTTCGCTATGCGTCTTCTCACAACATCCGCATGTGAGGTGAGGCACCAGCAACAAGGAGCAAAGGCGCTGTGCTGATGACACGAGCACAACATGCAGAAAAGAATGCTTTCACGTGCTTGGGGAGAAGATATTAGGGTTTGGCTTGTATCAGAGAACCCTAGGTAATACTTCTGGAGATGGGCTGTACAGTCTTCAGAAAAGATCCAGGTTCTAGGAATTTATTTATTTGTTTACATGTTTATTTTTACAAAGCTAAGTACCAACACCATACCTGTTCATTCCCAGCTAGAATTCAAGAGTGCCCTCACCTGCCTGGTCTTTCCAGGCTTGCTAACTTCTGCTGGGAACGACTGTGCAGAACAGGGCTTACCCTTACCCTCTTGCTATGGAAGAGGCAGCTATTTTTGGTTTCATCTTTTTGAAAGACCAAAATTTAATCCACCAACATCAGGCCTTAGTTGTACTACCTTCTGTGTCTTTGCTAAAAAGAAATTAATCAGTCAACATGTATCACTGAACCTTTTTGTATACATGATCAAGAGGCAGTTGCAAAAGTGGTAATTAGATAGCTGTCACGTGTCATTCTATACTGGGTAGCACTGAGTACTCAGCTGGTGATACAGAGAAAGGGAAATATTGAGATTTCAATAGAATGCACCACAATTTTCTTCACACCCCAAATTTATGTATTTTGTTGTGTATATCTAGCCACACCAGCAAATATATATATAAAAATTTATATATAAAGCGTAAGCATGCACGTACACATTCACATACTGACTGTTTACTGGCAAAAAAAATCCCATTAAAGTGCATTTCATCCAGCCACAGTCTTAAAGACATGGAAATAAGATACCAAAATAAAAGGTTTGGATCACAATTTTATCGCTGCGCTACTCAGAATACCTTCAGCACTACTTCAGTTTTCAACGCCAACAAAAAAGCAGAACATCACATCATCATATTTCAACTTTTGTTCAAATAAATGTTAAATGTTTTCTGCAGAGTTAAGTCAGAATAACCTCTCAAAACCAGAATACAAAATAGTTGTGCTAACACAGACGCTCAGGGGCAATCGTTAAAGCTTCTGAGTAACAGCATGTTCTCTACTGATTTGCTGTAGTATTTCTTAAATTCCTCTCCCTGCCCCCCCAACTTGCTTTTATCATGAAAATACTTAAAAGTGCAGAACATGATGCTCAGGAATGTCATTCACAGATACCTCCTGAAACAGCAAAGCAATGTATTTGTTTGTTGACTAACATTAGCTTTGCTTTGTCAGGTGGAAGTGACTATTTTACCTGAATTTAGTCTTGTAATATGCATAGTCTCAGAAGGGTATCTTTGTGATAAACTATCTCAAAACTTCTTGTACCACCACAGAAATATACTTGTCATCATATTATTTCCAGTGAAGTAGCCTCATTTGAAGTACATATATGATAGGACAGTATTTTCCAATTAAAAGAGTGTATAGATATTTCCATCTTACAATATGAAAAAAACAAATATATATCACTTGCAAAAGGCCAGAGGTAAATGCAATTTTCATTCAGGTTTTAAAAGGAAGAATGATTCTAAGGAAACTGAACCACAATTTAGAAGGTGACAACTGCTTGGATCTAAAGGAAAGTATTGAGAGGTTAAGTCCATCCTTTAAACTCTGCTGACATCCTTGGTCAGTGGTTGTCTGTGTGGGTGGTACAGATTTTTTATAAACAATAGCACGCAAAGTCTTTAGAATAGTGACATTTTCTTGCTACTAGAAAGCTCTACAAAATCCTGCCTCTTCTGGCAGCTAAATTTGAGTCTCCCATGACCCAAGTCCACAGCTATCCAGCAATCTCTTGCTCACTCCTTTATCCACAAAAGGGAAGTCAGATTGTCCAGCTAAATCCAGGGAGCTATTTATGCTTCTGGGAACATAAAAATGCTTCTCCTTGGACAAAGGCAACAACTTTGTAG